AAATAATAAAGCATAACATGCTGAAAACGTCACTTATTTTCTTCCAACTTCAATATTAAAATGGCTGCACAAAAATTCACCAATTTTGGTAGGTTATTTTTAAATGCATGCTGACATGGCAGCTGTCTCAATATAATCTGATAAAATTGTTTTGAATGACGTTAAAGACAACTAAGCACTACTACAGCCATTGTGTGGGAGAAAACATACAGACTTCTTGGCCAACCTAATACTATAAAGCTGGTGTACTTTAATTTTTCCCTGCTAAATTTAAAAAATATATATCCAATTCCATTATTCAATACATAGAATAAACACATCACATTTTTAATAAATTCTAGTTTACATTTAACAAAAATCTACTCTTATCAATTCATCACTAATAGTTTAAGAAATAATTAAGAAAAAAACTAAAATAAACACTAAATTACTTACGGAATCTAACATCTCAAATATCAAAATAAAAAGCACAGAATTAGCCCTGGTTGGTGTGGCTCAGTGGATTAAGTGCTGGCCTGCAAAATAAAAGGTTGCCGGTTTGATTCCCAGTCAGGGCACATGCCTGGGGTGCAGGCCAGGTCCCCAGCTGGGAGCATGTGAGAAGCCAACTGATGTCTCTCTAACACATTGATGTTTCTCTCCCTCTTTCTCTCTCCCTTCCCCTCTCTCTAAAAATAAATAAATAAAAACTTCAAAATGCTTTACTAGGTAGCATCTTTTAAAAAATAATTTAAAAATTAAAAAATACATAATTATATAAACAGCTTTTTAAAAAATTCTATTTAATAATTGACAAAGGTAAAAAGTCAAAGGTAAAAAGTGGCAAAGGATCTAAAGTATAGACAAAATAATCGAGCTTAAAGAATATATAAAACAAATGAGTTTAAAACAGATATAGAGAATAAAATAGTGAAAAGGGATTCTATAGATATAAGACCTCTGGATACTATAATTCCTGTTTCAATCTCACAGTTTAAAAAATCTTTTGTTTGTATCTGGCTGGTGTGACTCAGTGGATTGAGTGCCAGCCTGTGAACCAGAGTGTCACTGGTTCAATTCCCAGGCGGGGCACAGGCCTGGGTCGCGGGCCAGGGCCCCAGTAGGGGACATGCTAGAGGCAACCACACATTGATGTTTCTCTCCCTCTCTTTCTCCTTCCCTCTCCTTGCTCTAAAAATCAATAAAAATCTTTAAAAAATAAAAAAATCTGTTGTTTGCATCAAATCATAAAGTTTAATAGAACTAGGAGATATAAAATACAATGTGAATTAAAGCTGTTGTATAAATCTGGCCCTTAGGAGAGCAAAAACTTTTTAGTTACTGAGCTTTCATGCATTTTGAAAAACTAATCTTAAAGCAATTTTCTTTTGGGGCATTTAAGCATGTTCAGTTTCTAACCAAAAATGCTTCAGTCTTTCTTAACAAAAGAAAGGTGGGGGGAATATCTCAAGGCTATCATTTAGTTTTAGCTTTAATTGGCTCTTAATCTCTATCAGTCTGACATGATAGGGTGACTATTTTCAGCAACAATGAAGGGGTAAGTGCCTTAGAAACCTACCAGCAACTTTGATTTGATATCTCTCTTCTTGCAGGTTCATAGTAAACTTGAAATCAAGGTCAGAAATGTCCCTTTTACTGAGTCAAGTAGTAGCAATGAAAATATCGAATGTCAAATCCTCAGGCAAAAAATTTATATTGTTGTTTGCAAAGCAAAACTTTGGTCAGGAAAAAATGCATCCAAGTTCTACTCTCATTAATGCAGCTACTAAACAGCTACCTTATCTTTTATTAAACATTAATTATTAAAACATGATTAAAAGCAGCTGCCATGTGAACATAGAGCAAGAAAGCAAAGATCTGCTGACCCTATCCAGCAAAATTTAGCTTGTGGCCCTATCCACAATAACTGAATATGGTATCAGTATTACCTTAAAGCCATACAACCATATTGAAACATCAGGAAAAAACAGGTATGTAAAAAACATCACTCAACAATCCTCCACACATGCCCTTTTCAAATCTCAAAGTCTCCAGAGGCGGTGTAGGGTAGTAGTTGGAAGAAAAGGTTCTGGAGCCAAAATGCCTGGGTCCAATCCAGGCTTTGCAATTTTCTGGCTGAGTGATAAAAGATACATTATTTAAACTCTCCTGTGAGTTGCTTAACAGTGCCTCAGTTTCCTCATCTCATACCAAGGCTCAATAAAAGTGAGTTACTGTCATTACTACAAAAAGGAAAAAAGGGGGGGAAAATTCCAAGGAAAGCCAACAGGCCTTGAATTTCTCTTTGCTAATAGCTCATCAAAAGGATAAATATAATACTAACATAGCATAGTACATGGGATTTTTTTTTTAAAGCTACTGATTGCATCAAGCACATCATGCTTCTAGTGGGAATTCAGTGAAGATAATCAGCCTTATGACATGCTTATTCACACTCTGTAGACTCAGGGTTCATACCATCTACAGAAGGACTGATTTAAGAGCAAGAGACTCACAGGTGCTATGTACTCAATTAGGTTACCTGAGAGTGTTATGTACCTAGAAGTTGTTTCATCCAGTTTTATTTTGTCTTGTTTTCCATTTATAAGTCACATATGTGTCCTCATGTAAAGTAGAAAGGAAAAGCTGTAAACAGTATTAAATTCCAGAGTTAGGCAACTGGTCCTTACACAGCTAAAACTCTATCATGAATTTTCTTCTTTCTGAGCATTTCAATTAATCTCAATTTGGGGCATGAATGTGCCTTGGGATGTGAGAACAAAGAGGCCTCAGGCAGGGTAATCAATCTTGTCCCATTTAATCTTTAGGCACCAATAACGTTATTCTTAGCAAGCCTAAATAGGAACAGTACTTCAGAATCTAAAAGGGGAAGGGACCTTAGAGGTCACCTACCTAAAGTGAAATGAAGGAGTAATCTTTCCTACATCTCTTCCTCCATCTTTGCCTGAAAATCTGCTGGTGGCGGTAATGGAGGGAGAAGTGATGGCTGCTGCTGCTGGTATTTATGCCCCAGGCACTGGTCTATACATTCACATGCACTGACACATTGAAGCAAACTGTGAAATGAGAAAAACCCTAAAAGAAAACATAAGATGGACTTTTAAAGACCATTCCAAAAAAGACAAAAGCCTAAAATTTTAATAGAATGGATTGCAATATTATCATAAATCAAAAAAAAATATTATTCATCCTCTAAATGACACCATCATTGAACTCAATTTAGTTTAACAGAGATGAATAAAACAGAAGCACCTTCATTCACTCCCTTTAACAAGCTAAAGACACTTGTTATTAAAGGTCTGTGTGCCAGACACTTAAGTAAGTACCAAAAGTACCACTGCTACAATTACTATTAAGACATGATCCCTGTCTCCAAGGAGTGTCTACTTTGTTCTCAGTACAGCAGTAAGTGGTTCACAAAAATGTAAGAGAGAAAATATAGTGGAGTCAAGGGCAGCATAGAGTAAATCCCAGCTCTGCCATTAGCTGTTGACAGTTTAGACAAGTCTGTTAACCTTTCAAAGGCAAGATGTTACATATATTCGTCTATGTATAAAATAAAGTTGTGATAAAGTTGCTTAAACAACTTTAAATTGCTTTAAAAGTTTTTATAGTTAAATATATAAAGTTATATATATGTAAATAATGCTGTTACAAAGGTAAAATGTGATATATAGTGCACACTTGGCTGGCCTGAGTTTCCTTCATTTCCTAACAAGCTGACCCTGAGGTTTTCTTCATACCTGACTCAAATTTTACTTCTTACCTATCTTGATCCTCACAAGATTAAGTAAGTTACACTTAAAATCTTAAGTTTTAAAATTTTTGTCCAACTCTGTATTTCTGCATATAAACTACTATCTTCAGGGACATTTTACCTATAGTACCCTTAAGATACTGTAAATATTTCAGTTATAGGAAATTTTGCCTCAATTAAAAAAAATGTTTTTAACCTATGCACATGAGAATTCAAAGCATAAAGACAGTTTGTACTATAAATGTTAAAATAACAGAAGAACAGCTCATAAAATGACAGTAATCTGAAGGATTGAGGGAGGGAGTGGGGGTGGGTGAGGCAGGGGAAAGTGGTGGCAAAGCAAAACACATTTATAAGCTTCAAAAATTTTTAAAATAAATAAATAAATAAATATAGAAATAAAAAATAAAAAGGCAGTAATCTAACTACTTCAGCTGGAATATCAGCGGAGTAAGAGTTTGCCCATATTATTTCCTGCTGCGATCGCTAAGGAATTTCCTTATGAATGTGTGACAAAGACTGATCAACCATATTGCTATTAAAATTCGGACCTGATTACTGAAATATTTACTGATTGAAAATTCAAAAAGACGATGGCCAGTGACGCGATTCCTACATATATACAATAACAGAGAAATATACTATTAAAGAGAGAGAACTGTGCCTCGGATCCCACCCCCAAGTACTATAAGTTCAGTCCATCGGAGGCATTCTTTCATTCAATGAACATTTATTATGCACGTACTGTGTGCCAGGTATTGCAAAGTGAATACAACAGAGAAAAAAAAAAATTCCCCCCTCTCCAAATAACAGGAATGCCTCCCCAAAATCTAAAGGCTGCCCAAGTCTTAACTCCTAGAGACCAAGTCTTCGCCTCACTCCCACCCCTCAAGGGTCAATCGCACTGACAACGACCCAAACCCAACAAGCCCCTTAGGCTAGCAGCTCTCAGCCCCTGAGTTCTTAAGCGCTGAGATCCGGGATCCCTCGGTCAATCCAGGGTACGCCTCAGACCTTCACAGCCGGACTCCACCCTGCGAGGAGGAAGCGAGGGGCGCAAACTCAGACGCTCCACGTGCACGCCCGGCGCGTGCCCGCCATCCTCTGCCTGTCCCGCGCAGGCGCCACCGCTGCCCGGCTCATGTGCGCGCGCCCTGTACGCCACTCTGGGCTCCCGACTCGTGCCCTGGACCACCAGCCCCAGTTTCGCGCGGTGCCGACCATACCAACCACCGCCTCTTACCGGTCCTCTGGCCCCGGCGCCCCGGCCTCCCGGTTCCCGGCGGCTGCCCCGGTGGGCGCCGCCTCCTCGGCCTCCGCGGCCCCCCCGGAAGCCCCGACCGCGGCCCCGGCGGCCGCCTCCGTCCCCGCCGCCTCCTCTCTCCACCACCGCTATGGCTCCTGTCCGCTCGCGGTCTCGGTCCCCGCCGGGCCGGTCGTGTCCGCCGCGGCGACCGTGGCCGCCTCGGACTCGTCGGTCTGCCTGCATCTGGCAGTGCCTGCAGTGCTGAGCGAGCAAGGGGCCGGCTGTCGTGGAGACGCCCTTGCCCCACCGGAAGCGGGTCGCAGGACTGGCCCTAGGAGCTGCGAGCTGCGAGCGGAGCGCCGCGCCGGTGCGGAGCCGGGGATGGAAACCTGCGGTGGGGGCGGGGCGGCCCAGGGTACTGGCAGATTGGGGCCGGAACCCGGCTGGGGAAGGCTGAGCATTCAGATGAAGGCCCGACTAGTGGGGGCCAGCAGTGAGGGACAGGGGTGGGTCTGAAGGGTGGGGCCGTGGTAGGTAAAAGGGCTGATTATAAAAGTTTGTATAATATAAACTCGTTTTTGTTTTAAAGAAAGAAAACAAAATACAAGTATGGGTGTATTTGCATAAAATGTCTAAAAAAGTGTATGCCAAAATGTGTGGTGAGACAGCGAGTTAATTTTTCTGTTTAATCTCCGAGTTATCCAGAATGAATATAGTTTTTAAAAGTTTTACGGAACTCGAGATTCCAAGAGGAGGTGTGGAGGAAAAGGCAGGGGGGCTATCAGGTGAGAGAGGTGAGTGTGGACTGCAGCAAGCAACCGGGAGTAGAGAGAAACTTGTAGATGGGTAGAACGGGCTGTGAGGTCCCCAAGAGAATTTTTGTGGAAGTGACTACTTTAGCTCACTCTTACTGAGCCCGTGAGCCTTACATTCTCCAAAAGGCCCTGTTATCCTTATTTTGCAGAGGAGGAAACAACCCTAGAGAAGTTAACTCGCCTTAGGTAACACACCAAAGCAGTAGTGAACTAGCATTCTAACTCACTGCAGTCTATTCATGTGTTTCACTTATTCAGTACAAAGTTTTTTGAGACTCACGCATGTCTTATGATTTAATATTTTGTTTCTTGTTATGCCTAAGTAGTAATCTGTTGTATGAGTCAGTCTATATTTTTAACCATGGGAAAGAAGGGCAATTGGTTATGCAGGTACATGGGAACCATTTTTAACTTTGTATTACAGAAACTATAAAACAATAATAAAAGCAAGGGCTTAAATGTCCATCATCCAGTCAGCACTGCAAAATAAGTGTTTTCTTCCTTCCCAGTCTTTTCTTGCCCTTAACCTGTGTGTGTGTGTGTGTGTGTGTGTGTGTGTGTGTGCGCGTGCGCGCGCGCGCGCGCTCTGTCAGGCACAGTGCTAGGTCCTGAAGGCTTTTTTTTAAAAAGCCAGTGTCTCTACCCTGCAGTAGCTCACTTCCCACAAGAAAGATCCTCCCGTAAGCAGATTACTGCAGTACTATGCTGAGTATGGTGAGAGGTTCAAGGGAAGAAGATTTAAACTATTCCCAAGTGAGTCTGTTGCCCAAGGTTTGATGAAAAATAGACCCTTAAGGTAGGGGTGAGGGTTGAGCAGGAGTTTGATAACTGGAAGTAGGGGAGCTTTCCAGGCAGTGGGAACCACTGAGAAAGGTGTGTACACGGGAGAGAAACTCAGCCTTAAACATAGTAATCCAGCAATTACTATGCACCAAAGGCCATTCTAGTCCCTTCCCATATAGCACTTCGTTTGAATCTCACAGCAGCCCTATATAAGGCCTCACTTGTGTCCCCATTTTACAGGTGAAGGATCTAAGCGATATTAACTAACTTAGAAAATTGCACAGCTAGTAATGGAAAGATTGGAACCCAGGGCAGTCTGGCTTCAGAGTCTTGCCATCACTATACTCAAAAAATTATTCTGTGGACGAGAATTAGAATTCTATCTAAAAAAAAAAAAAAGAAAAAAGGAATTCTATCTAGAGAGAGCCATTTGGAAACTACTAGAATAATCTAGGCCACAAATAGAGCCTGAATTAAGTTGAGAGCCAAGGAGGTAGATATTAGGATAGAGAGGAGATGGAAGAATTAATAGCACTTCATGTCCAATTGTAAGTGGGAAGGTCAGGGAGATGAGAAATTAGGGGAGATGCCCAGATTTCTTGGTTGAGTGACCAGGTAGTTGATGCCATTAGTCAAGACAGGGAATACAGAGTGAGGGGAGAGGATGTTGTCAGGATAATGGGATTTTTTTAACATTGTATTCTGCAGTTTTCTGTGTTGCTTTTGTCTTCACACCTTGGTTAGTAGACGCTTCTCACACTTATTCTTCAATTTTTCTTACTATTTTGCCTCTACTGTTCTTCAACCTTTACCTTTTTATCTATTCCTCCAGGCCCTATAGGCCCTATTCTGCACACACCCCCTTTTTTCCCCTTGTCTCTTTACAAAATTAAGGTTCACTGTAGCATTCAGGATTAAGTTATTCATCCCCATGCTAACCTCAAATTCAATAATTCCACCTCTGGAGAAACACTGAACAACAGGAAGATGGGAAGAGTGGAAAGAATTGTATCCTTTTCTCTGAGTACCAGAGGAACTAACAGGAGATACACACATATGAATGATATTTTTAAGAACCCAGTAGAGTCCTGGTTGATGTGGCTTACTGGATTGAGCACCAGCCTGCAAACCAAAGGGTCACAGGTTTGATTCCCAGACAGAACACATGCCTGGGTTGTGGGCTAGGTCCCCAGTAGGAGGTGTGTGAGAGGTAACCACACAGTGATGTTTCTCTCCCTCTCTCCCTTCCCTTCTAACTTCTTTTTAAAGGTACTGGTTTGTTTGGGGTTTTTTTTCTTTCTTTTTTAAGATTTTATTTCTAGAGAGAGGGGAAGCGGGGAGAAAGAGAGGGAGAGAAACATCACTGTGTGGTTGCCTCTTTCGCACCCCCCACTGGGGACCTGGCCTACAACCCATGCAGGTGCCCTGACTGGGAATGGAACCAACGACCCTTTGGTTCACAGACTGGCACTTGACACCCTGAGCCACACCAGCCAGGGCCCCCTCTGCCTATTTTTTTAAAAAAAAGTGAACACCTTGGCCCCCCAACCATTGTGTGACCAAGAATGATAATGGTTTGGTATTCAATACATTGATTGTCTCTTCCTAATTCTACAGTCAGTGACATCAAGCTGGTAACCTGAAATGGGCCACGATTTTGGGAACTCTTACACCACAGAAATTGGCAAGTTTCTGCAGATCAGGGCTTTGTGGGCCATGGGGCAGAAACAGGTTGTTAAACTTCCCAGCACACCACTGATGGGCTCTCACCAAGGTGAACATCTATATATTTATCTAATACCAGACATTAGCACAAATCAAGAGTTTCTCAACTTTGGCACATTTAGGGCTAGATGATTTTTGTGGTGGTAGTTTGTCCTGTGCATTAATGTTCAAGAGAATCCCAGCCTCTACCATTCAGTAGTCTCCCCTTATCCACAGGGGATAGATTCCAGACCCCCAGTGAATGCCTGAAACTGCTGATATCTGTATGTACATATCTATGATAAAGTTTAATTTGTAAATTAGACAACAATAATAATAAAACAACTGACAATATGCTGTAATAAAAGTTATGTGAATGTGTCTCAAAATACCTTACTGTACTGTATTCATCTTTTCACATAAAGGAAGCACTTTACAACTTCTTTGGCATATCCAAATTGCCAGCATCACTATTGTGGTTTGGGGGCATTATTAAGTAAAAAAGGGGTTACTTGAGCCCTGGCTGGTGTGGCTCAGTGGACTGGGTGCCAGCCTGTGAACCAAAGAGTCGCCAGTTGGATTCCCAGTCAGGGCACATGCCTGGGTAGCAGGCCAGGTCCCCAGTTGGGGGCGCACGAGAAGCAACCACACATTGCTGTTTCTCCCTCTCTTCCCCTCTCTAGAAATAAATAAAATCTTTAAAAAGGGAGGGGAGGGGTTGAACACAAGCACTGTGATACCGTGACAGTCAATTTGATAACTCAGCTACTAAGAGGCTACGGGCCTAGTAGCATTTGCAGGGAAGACACCTGACCAAGGATAATTTATTTGTGTCCTGGGTGGGAAGGACCAGGATGATGAGTGATTTAATCACCCTACTTAGAATGACATGAACATTAAAACTTCTGAACTGTTTATTCCTGGAATTTTCCTTTTAGTATTTTCAGACTGAAGTTGACAGTGGTTAACTAAAACCATGAAAAGCAGAACCGCAGAGGACTACTATAGCTGCTACCCACTAGGACCCTCCCTCTTAGTTGTGACAAAATGTCTTCAGACATTGCCAAATGTTCCCAGAGCAACAAAATCACCCTGGATGAGAACCACTAGCACAGATGGATTTAACTATACAACTGTCCCTCAAGAAGCCTCTAAAATTATGAGGTTAAAAAGATGAGTGGAGTAGCAGTGAGGTTAAATGTATTTAAAAAGAAAGAAAGAAAGAAAAAAAAAAAAAGATGAGTGGGTTTCGAATTAAGCCAACTTCCTTAGGGCACATTCACTCGGCTTGACACTTAGCAGTCAATTTAAGACTCAGTAACACCATTGAGAGGTGGTATTATGCTTGTGGTACAGATAGCCTTGTCTGTGGATAGAGCTAACATTTAACATTTCCTTTGTGTCTAGCACTATTTTAAGCATTTCATTCATACTAACTCATTTAATCTTCATAATATTCCTATGAGGTAAATACTATTATTATTTTACAGAAAAAACTGAGTCACAATGGAGCTAAATAATTAGCTCAAGCTAATAAGTGACAGATCTGGGATTCATACCCACACACTCTGGTCTCAGAATCTGTGTCTTTAAATCTATGCTGCAGATGCCAACAAAAGTCCAGAGACTATGTTATTCCCTCCTCCCTCACCGAATACCTGTAAGTCAAGGCTTTTTTTCAATTCAACCAGTCATGTTCCAGATATGGAGGAATCTGTGGTCCCCTGCTAACACCGCCTAATTGGAGAACACCAGTAGCAGAAGCTCTTTTAACCAGGATGTTGAGTATGCTTTCCTCATTCGATTCTGATCAACATGGAAAAGATGTCTGTCATCAGGATGAAAATGCCGTACAAGTCCCTCCTGTGTTACAAGAAGCCAGAGACCTTTTGATATGGTAAATAACAAAGGAAATAAGGGTTTTCTGGTATTGCTTTTACTTGATAGCCCTGGCTTTAAACATATGCCATTGCATGAATGAAAAATTCAGTTTTCCCTTAGGTACTATTCACGAGATAGCGAAACAAAGTGCTGA